AATCAGAATTTCGCTTGGAGGAAACTGAAGTCAAACTTTTAGGGCTTCAAACTCAACTAGAAATCGTGGAAGGAATGAAATCTGGAGTTGAAGCCGAACTTGAAGCTACCAATGCAAAGAAAGATCTAGCAGAGTCACAACTTAAAGCCATTGAATTCGAGCTGCAAACATTGCTTTCTAAAGTTGATTCTCTTCAAGAGGAGCTTTGCAAGGAAAGTGCTTTGCACCAGGAAACTGCTGCAAAGTTGCAGAAACTAGAAATCGATAATTCAATGATAAAATCTGCATCCCAGCTTCAGAAAGCAACTATTGTCGAGGAATTTAAGATCAATAAGGTTAGTTGCCAAAATATTTCATTATTCAACCCCCTTGTGCATAGCTTAAAAGTTCTAACAGATTACTTGCTAATCAACTGGCAACCTGTTGCTAAGCGCTGACCCTTCATTTCCGTAGTTCTTCTTCTAGAGGAGATCAAAGAAAGATCATATTTTTATGCTTAGCGACGGTTAAAGAGAAAATTGGTTATCATCATGCTTAGCGACGGTTAAAGAGAAAATTGGTTATCATCATGCTTAGCGACGGTTAAAGAGAAAATTGGTTATCATCATGCTTAGCGACGGTTAAAGAGAAAATTGGTTATCATCATGCTTAGCGACGGTTAAAGAGAAAATTGGTTATCATCATGCTTAGCGACGGTTAAAGAGAAAATTGGTTATCATCATGCTTAGCGACGGTTAAAGAGAAAATTGGTTATCATCATGCTTAGCGACGGTTAAAGAGAAAATTGGTTATCATCTACATTCACTGTTACTTTTAGTGGCAGAGAATGTGACCGTACATGAGTACTTTAGGATAATGGGAGGCTCAAAAGACGTGTGAGAGTTGAGATTGAAAGTGGAGTAAAAGGTTAACTTAATACAGAACATGCTTTGGCTGCATTTGGTGTTTCAAAACAATAAAAAATGAATGTGAGAACATCTCTTTTATTGTCTAGCTCCTAAATCGTATTAAGGTTGTCCTAAGAAGTCAAAATTTTCAGGAGAGCAATTAAGTTTTCTTAATGACAAGACTGCTTCATAAGTTATTCTGGTTTTCTGTTACTTGTAAGGTAAAAACGACAGTTTAGTCAGCAGGTTCTTGAGGACAACTAAAACCCAGTTTTACCTTCAGATCATACGTAGCAGTAGCGAAGCCAGGAAATTCAATAAGGGTGTTCAAACCCTTTGCCATGCTGCGCAAGGATGTTCCGATACTTTAGGTCTCTTCTAACTAGTAAACTTTTTGTAGAACAGCGCTAAGATAAGACTTACATTAAGGGGGTAATATCAGTGGCATTGGTTTTATGTTGCATGCACAAATTTATATTGCAGAAACCCTTGCCAATGGTTGTTCTGTAACTAACAATATTTGCTCAGTGATTCCTCATATTTATGATCCATCTGTTATGTGCATGTCCAGGATAAACAAATGGCAATAGCAGCTAGTCAATTTGCAGAGTGCCAAAAGACGATCGCTTCTATTGGTTGGCAATTGAAATCCCTTGCTACCATGGATGATTTCTTGATTGACTCAGGTGAACCATTGCTGATACAATGATACAATGACATTCCCAAAAGAAGGTTTGGTTCAAACATACTGACAACAGGGTCAGTCACCTTTAAATTAACAAATTCTTGGCTGAAGGGAAGCTGAACGTCGAAGATTAAAATGATATGTATTATGCAGCAGAAATTCTGTAGAATTCAAGATGGAACAATTGGATAACAGAAAGTTGTAAAGCTGTGAAAAAGAAAATCTTTGGTGCCATTAGTTAAGTGCTTAGTCATGAACTTATCAGGTAGATAAATTCTTCTTTTTTTGTTAATAGTCATACCATGTACTATTGAGCGATAATAAGTGCTTATATAAACTATAAGGTTCCAAATTCACTGTAATGGAAGTTCACCAGAAAAGCAGGTCTTCATGTATGTCATTCAATTCAATTATTGCTTGACTCTTGTCTCATTATTAAATGATTAATATTTTTTACAATATTCTTATATATGGGAGTTGAAGTTAAGAACTCAAATTATATAGTTCTGAAAACTTAAAGATAAAAGGTTGGTTTGCTGGTTATATGATGTAATGTAATTTGTAAGAGAAGAGTTTGGAACAAGACAAATGGGAAATTTTATTATCATCTTAATTGTAGTACAATTCATATCTTCAATTACAATTCAAAATTGACTACTATTGGTGGTCTTTAACTGCAAGTGAGCTTAAATGGAATCCTGAATTTGTACCCTCTCTGTATTTGCTTCTAAATACTAGGTAATATAATAATGCCAAGTGAACAAAGTTTGTGTTCAACTAGTCAATCTTACCAAATCTAGCAGTGAAGGCTCAAAGATGAGCTTCAACTTGTCTTCAAATGAAAATTGCAGTGATATCCAATTTTCTGCATTGACAATATACAGCAAAGGCTGCATTTTTACAAGGCATTCTTGAATTTAATCCCAATCTTCTTCACCCAATTGATCTTCATTTTCCCACTTTGGTGGCCTAACTACTATAAGCACAATCCCCAAGCTTTGTTCAACCCCTCTTTTCTTCAAAGTAGAACCTCTTTCCACTTTCAATCCCTCCTCATTGCTCCCATTGCCACCATCAACCACCAAATAAAACCCGTCCTCCGACGCCACTTCTGTCCTTCCCCTATCCGCCACTACCAAAACCGGCTCTTGCTTGTACTTGCTCTTCTCCCTCCACGGCAAAAAGTTCCCGCTCTTGAACGACACTGCAACTCCACCTCTCTCTAACCCCGCGATAGGTTGCCATCCTGGCAAAACAACCCATCTTCTCCAATCCTTCTCCGCCTCCACGATACCAAAATCCCCCACGCCACCACATTCCCATGGCGCCGCCTCCACCTCCACATCCCTCCCCTCCGCCTTACAAACAGGCAAAACCACTACAATCGTCGACTCAGCTACTTCCCCTAACTTCATTCTCACCAAAGGCACTGTCACCCCATCATCTTTTACACTCTCTTTAGCAACCTCATTACCTTCTAGCTCCATTACAAGCAAATTCCTCGCACTTTCAGACTCAGCAACTTCTAAAGCCTTCTCCATTGACGACCTCCTCAAATCCTCAGAAGCTGCAGCAGCATATTCTTGAGCTAATCTAAAGTACATGAAAGCTAAACAATCACCAGGAGAATCACCATGAAACTTATCCCAACCATACTCCACACGTCTACGCGGATAATCTTTAATTGCTCTAGCTAAATCTTGAGCTTGTTTTGCATCAAATCCATTCTTCACTAAAAAAGTTGCAGCATCAGCTCGTTGCCTAGCACTAAGCAAACGAATTTCATATAATAACTCAGCACCTCCAGATTCAAAATACGACAACGTTTCTTCGTCCAAAGCAGCAGACTCAACAAGAGAGTCACGAACTTGGGCAGCAACTACCAAACGATTCTGATCAACTCCAGTAAGGCCAGTGATTTCCTCAAGAGTTGAAGGAGTGAAACCTTCTCTTGTTAAAGAAGGTATTAAAGGAGCATACTCATACCAAAGGCCAAGGCGGTTAGCTAAAACTTCAAGCTTTGAATTTGTGTCTAGATTGCGGAATTTGGGTGGGAGAAGTGGAGGAGGAGGTCTAAAAGGCTGATAAAGTTGTTGCTGTTGTTGTTGTTGGGTTGAATATTGCTGTTGTTGGCCTGAGGAAGGAGGAATTATGAGTGCAGTTATGGGTTTTGGATTGAGATTTGGTTTATGGGTTATGGAGGGTAGGGGGTGGGGGTGGGTAGGGAGAAATGGGGTGGAGAGAGATAGAGGTTTAGGGGAGTTTACAGTGAGAGAAAACATGGTTGAGGAGTTGGAGATTGGGAAGAACTGAAGAAGAAACTATCTTATCTTTGTGTGATATTTTTGAGGGAAGGGGAGATGGCAAATGGATGTGTCTTTATCTTTGTTTTGGGCTTTCTTCTGGACCTCTGATATTTTCTACTTTATTGGGCCTGGGCCTATATGAGAGCCCAACAACAAAGTTGAATCACAAACCATATAAATCGGCTGGACATGTTAGACTTCATATCCTATCCTCTGGGAACCTGGCGAAGTGCATTAGTAGCCACTTTTAAGCCTGCTATTTAATAGATACCTATAATTTGCAATGTATTTAAATATTAGTTAATTTGCCCAAATTTCAGGACTAAGTATCCTAAATTTTTGAGCTGTTAATTTAAAATTCAGGACTAGGTCCAAACCGATAATTTAAAATTCAAGACTAAGTGCTTTAAATTTCTAAATTGTTAATTTGAGGTTTAAACTTCAAGACGCCGCGTCCTGAAGTTTGAGTGAATTGGCTAATATTTAAATATATTGCAAACTATTGATATATTTTAAACAACATACTTAAAAGTGACTATCTCCAGCTAAGGGTGGCAAGTGGGCCGGTCCAGGCCCGGGACCGAGGGCCAAACGGGCTAAACGGGCCAGGATCGTTTGGCCCGATTTTAGCGGGCCTGGGCCGGTCTCGTGGGCCGGTCCTATGNTTTCCCCTAAACAGTTTGCGGTAGATAAACTTTGAGGCCCATATCCTTTCTAATTCGGGTGGTGCACAAATAGCCACTTCTTAGGACCATAATTTAAAATCTATCCAAAATATATAAATTATTTAAAGTTTAGCTATCTCAAAATCAAACTTGAGACTAGTGGGGAGGCACCTTTGATATTTCTTCGCCGGAAAATTAGGATGTGCAGATAGGTAAAATTTTCTTTTTAATATGTGTGTATATATATATTTATTTATTTACTTTTTGACTTTTCATGGGAGGCACCTTCTTCTTCTTCTTGACTTTTCATGTATTTACTTTTTTTATATTTCGACTCTCTTTACTGAAAATCCTTTCTCTACCACTGTTTGAGACCATGTGCTTGAAGTTTTAACCTTGAAACCATTGGGTATGAAGGTTTAAATTTATCTTTTTGAATGTTTAATCTTCTCTAGACTTTATTCTTGAATACCAACTTGGTTAATATCTTTTCACTCGTGTAATTTATATTTCCTTTGTATTTGTTTAGTTTCTTTTACGCTGTTGTAGAATAGTTGATGGATCTATACTCTAACCATCTTTCATATTTTCTTAATTCATCACCTTTTAAACTGTAAAGATCTCTAGAGAGTTTTGCTAAGTTCTATAAAAGTACGTATGTTATTGCATTCTACTTCTACTGTGACTTTTATATGACATTTAAAAAAATTACCGAAAATTAATCGAACCGTACCGATACCGAAGAGAAACCGACATGACTGAGACGGTTTTGTATGTGTGGTCGAAATTGAATTTTAGGAAGTTCGGAGTTGATTCGGAAGGAAAATTCTCAATTCGGAAGTTTTGACTAAACGATCTCGGAATCGAGATTTGAAGGTTCCAATAGGTTCGTATGATGATTTCAGACTAGGGCGTATGTTTGGGTTGAGTATCAGGTGGTCCGGGAGCACTTCAACATTTATTGTGGAAAGTTGGCATTTTAAAGGTTTTAGAATTTTCTAAGTTTGGTTTGAGGTAGACTTTGATGTTATTGATGTCCGTTTGGGATTCCGAGTCTTGTAATAGGTTCGTATTGTGATTTGTGACTTGTACGCAAAATTTGGTGTCATTCCGAAATATTTACGTGTGATTCAGATGCGTTCGACGAAGGATGGAGGTTTGAAAGTTAAGAAATTGAGTTTGATCCTTAATTCTTGGTTTCGATATTGTAATTTGTGTTCTGAGCCTTCTTACAAGTTTACATAGAGTATATAAACTTGTTAGAATGATTGAACGGGGTTCTTTGGACCTCGGGTGAATTTTGGGGTGGTTGCGGATCGCTTTTAGGCCTTTTAGAATTACTGATAACTGGTGTCGAAGGTGTGCTATGAAATTGCGGAGGTCTGGGCCGCGATCGCGAAGAGTAAAGTGCGATCCAGGCCTTGTGAATCGCGATCACGGAAGGAAGGGTCGCGATCGCGTAGAAGGAATTTCTGCTGACAGTCGTCTGATTTCGGGAGCTTATATCTTGCAATTTATAAGAAATTTTGAGATGATCCAAAAATAAAAGTTATAGCCCTTTGAATTTAGTTTTCAGAAAATTAAACAATTTATCATTTAGAATTTTGTACAAAGAGTTATGGCCATTATACCGAAGGGTGTCTGTGAAGAAAAAAATAAAATTTGTACATCGCGATATCATGATTTTGGCCGCGATCGCAAGGAAGGAAATGATGCTGGAACTTTTGTTAACCGCGATCGCATGGGTAATGACCGCGATCGCAAAGGAGGAGTCCTGGTAGGTGTATTAAATATCTAATTTCGGGAGTTTGAGCTCATTTTCTTCACTTTTAAGTTCTTGGAGCACATGTGGGGAGATTTGGGGCGATTCTTGAAGATAATTTTCGCCATATATCATGAGGTAAGTTATTACTATTTGTTGTAAGTTAAATACATGGATTATATTAGATTTAAACATGGAATTTTGGGCCCGAGGGTTGTTTTTATTGACTTTTCGAGCGGAGTTGGAAATTATTGTAAATTGATTAATTATAAGCATTGGAGTATATTTTAATTGATTTGCACATTGTTTTACTAGTTTTGGATCGTTTGGCTTTGAGTCGAGAAGATAGAGAGGCATTGGAGTCGGTTATGGAACTTCGGAGCGAGGTAAGTCTCCTGTCTAACTTTGTGAGGGGGATACTACCCCCCTAATGTAACGACCCGATCGTTCATTTTCCTTTTCAGATCCCCGTTCCCCTAAATAAGACTCCCCGTATGTGCTATTACTATTTTATGACTTGCAGAGATGGTTAGTTCGGGAATTGGAAGGGTGCGGGTTGAAATCGGAACACTTGGTTCTTTAAGGTTGGTTAAAAAGGGCTAAGTTTGACTTGAGTCAATATTTTGAGTAAACGACCTCGAAATCGGAATTTGTCGGTTCCAACAGGTTGGTATAATAAT